TTTATCTAATGGAAACATGATTGTTGAAACATGAGTGTGGTATCAGCGCAGCTATGTGGTTAGAAACTAATTTTGCTTTTTTATTATAAAGAAAGACAAAGAAGAACAAAACTTTGGGAAACAGCATTTCCCTTATTAAATATTTACCATTTCAGCTCCAGAGTCAGGAAAGGTAAGCTCTGAGTCATTACTTTTTTATTTTTAGTATCCAATCTACTTGAAAGTGAATGGAATGCAATAACCTTCAAATCCCTTTAGAAGTTGTGAGTTACATGAAATCATTTATTTGAAAAGCACCATGAGATAATAGACGGGTTGGATGAGAGGTATAAGGCACTTTATTCATGTGAATTCCCATTTTCTGACTTCATTTTTTCCATATTTAAAACTGGAACTCTGGACATAAGAATATGATTTTTTTTAATTGTTTTGTGTTGTTAAAGTGATCCACTAACACAGCAGTAGTGAACACAGAGGACTGTTCTTTTGTAACAGTAATAACCTATCACTGATCTGGTACTGCAGTCATAAGCTTCAGAATATGTTGGGGATTTTTAAGGCCCGAAGGGAGTGTTTTGATCATCTAGTCTGACTTCTGGCACATGGGAAGCAAATAGAACTTCACCCATCGTTCTTGTACTTCTGGACAAACAAATAATTTTGCTTGTAAGAGCTTCTGTAAGTGAGAATAAGGCTTTCACTAGGTAATTTTAACTTCTTTTGAAAGCACAGCTGAATAATTCATTTCATTATGCACTCTGACTTTAGATACTTATTAAAATCTGGAGTGGATTCTGGAAGTGAATGGAAGATGTTAGTGAACATTTGAGTAACAAAACTGAGCCAAAAACATTATAAAATGTTGAAGCGTTATTGACCCAGTACAGTTTTAAGAAGCTAGGTCTTAGAAGTAAATGCAAAGAAATGAAAAACAGCTAAAGTCATAATCCGTTGAAACACTAAAGCATGCCTGTGACTCTCATCATGTGAGAAGTTTCATCAAAGACAATGAGACTGTTAAAGGTTTCAGAAGATAGGCATGCATCTAAGCACTTTAGTAGATTGGAATCCAAGTGCCTAGTCAAAACCATTAATTTCTTTTAGCAAGGAGGCTGTATGAGAAGCTCAATAAAATAAATTACAGAAGAGAAAGAACTATAAGAAAACTTCTTTTCTTCAGTAGTCATGTTCGTGGTATTACCTAAGGATCAACTACAAATGAGGTTCCCACTGTGCAGTGTAATGTGCCTCACAAAGCACTAGACGCTACTTGCCCTGCAGAGAACACACAGACTAAACAAGAGAAAAAGTGTCATTTTCACGCGAACATGACCGTAATTTTAATGTCGTTTGTATTACCTCCTTTTGTTGTATTCTTGTTTATGTATTTGTATTTATATATATATATATATATTTTATTTTTTTTCCAACAGAGAAACCTCTGGTTCAGATTTGTTGACACCAAAAACTACTGCTGAAGAAAAACAGGACATACACCAAATATTGCAACAACCCTGCAGGTTTTACCATGGTATTTTTCTAAAAATGAAGTGCTTTTATTTGAAGACAACAAAGTACATATTTGAAAAGAGTTGCCATCATTAAAACATAATTAGAGTTGTGAAGCCACTAAGCATCTTAAATTGTGGCACAGTACAATATTTATCAGGCTTCAGAACACAATCACATCTACGGCCATCCTGCCATGTTTTGTTTTTTCACTCAGCAAGATTACCCATCTGTCACAGTTTAGTGGAGTTAAACTTACCATCTCTTTATGTGACATATTCTGAGGTGGAAGAGTAGGGATTATAGGGTTGCACTGAAGACCAAGCCAACAAAATGCCAAGAAAACACATGCACTTAAGCATTCCTTTAGAAAGATTTTTTATTTTTTTAATTTTATTTTTTTTTGCTGTTAAAGAATAATGGAGCTAATACGAAACTTTGACAGGCATAAACCTAATGAATAATTCTGATAGTGCAATCTACAGGTGACTCGCAAGCAGTAAATCGAATGGTGTTAATTTAATGCAAGAAATGATCTTTAAAAAGCCAGAAAAAAAGGCAAATGTATAATTCATATGGCTAATATTTGAGGTATTTTGTACGCAAGTCTTCATGTTTCCTGTGTCTACATGTGCATATTCTTTTCACGTGGGTTAAAAATAAAAAAGTACAAATGACCTTCAGTTAAAAACTTGGCAACCATTTCAAATTCTACTTCTAAATTTAACTTTGTCATGTATGCTTATTAAGAATATAATTCATTGCCTGGGTATCTGGTCTGAAATACCAGTATCTATCATAAATGCTGGACAATTTTTCAATGTATCTGCTTTCAGACACTGGCACAGTATCAGCTTCAATGACTAGGTTGAATTCAGGTATTCACAAATGTAACCATAGGCTTTTAATGACAGATTTGTGAGTCTGCTGACGAACTATACTACTGAAGTTCAAAAGATTTAATATTATTTTGATTTTCTGTCATATTTAGAAGTTGAGTCAGAAAGATCATGTAAGCTGTGCCAAAATCAGAACAAAACATAGCCACCTGTAAAAATACACAAGGATGGCCTTAGCTCGCTGTTAAAAGTGCTGTAGTAAGTTTCCCTGTTTCATTTTTCTGGATAGGAAATGTATGCTTTAGGGCAGGAAACAAATACTGGCACCACATTTTTTTTTCCTAAGAAATTAATGCCTGTAAACAGAGAAGGGTTTTAACATTAGAAACTCAGTACTGTTTAATAGATTTTTTGTATGCTGTTACTTTCTATACTTTCATGTGTCAGAATACACACCTGCACTAAGGTCTGTGTTGCTTGTAAGTCAGGCAATGAATGCAAACATAGTATCTCTGCATAAAACTATGTGGATGAAATCCAAATTTCCTTCCAAATTTAAAAGCAGGAGCTTTAAAATAGAAGAACTTACCTAATAGCTCAACAGATTGAGGACTAGACACGTTACTGCATTTTAGAGCTGAAGGCTCAATTTCCAATACTACCAGTCCAACTACCACAATTTACAAACAGTAGCGACAGGAGCAATGGAAGAGAGAATTGTGCTTGGTGTACCCAACCCAGAAACCGAAAATATGCTTGATTGGAGAAGCCAACAATCTCCTAAATGGTGGAAGATCCTCCTAATTGTTTGCTAGTTGTGACCCTGCTGCAAGTGCTGCTTCCTCAAATCATTGCTCATCTTCAGGTTGACCTTCAGAGAGCAGCATAAGCCTCACCCATCTGCCTCCACAAGCTCAGCCTTAAGTGTGGGAGCTTCATGGGTTCTCGAAGCAGTGCTTCCCAGCTGCTGGGTTGAAACCAAGATGCAGTAAAAAAAGCTTTCCTTGTTAGTGGCACACTGGGAACCATGTTGAGTCATTAACAAGCAGCAGCTTAACAAGTGGGCAGAGCACAGGGCTGAGGTGGGGGATGTGAAGCAGGTAAGAACTGTTTAGACTAAGCATCTGAAAAGTGATTGCTTGTTTCTGAGCAGTGGAAGGGGGACTCAATAATACGGATCATTTTTTTTCTATGACTGCAATGCAGAAGTTTCTTTGTGCTAATCTTGGCACTGACATTGAAATTGATGTGTGGCCTTTAGGCAAGTCACTTAATCAATGTGTTTGCAAAATGAGGATAATAACATTTATTTGCCTGCCTGAAAAGGATGCTGTAAGGACAGACTAGTTAATGCTGTAAAATGCTATTTACTAGCAATTGCAAGTATTATTTTATTACAGACTTAAACCCCTCCTTGACTGGCAATTGAAATAGCTAAAGATCCAGATAGCAGCCTGAAATGTAAAGGTGGCAGAGGTCTCAGCTAAAGTGGAAGTGGTTAATCCCTTTCCTTTTTGTGGAGCTAATTAGGCTTTAACTGTAGCAACAAATACAGAAAAGTCCCAAGCATGCATGTGCTCTTATTCAGGTACAGAATGAAGAGAGAGACTGAGGGAATCGTGTTTGATTCACTGTGTAATTTTCCACAGATAATAGGTCAAGCGAGGAGATGGGTGCAACACAGAAAAATGCGCGTTGAAGCCTTTGTTCTGGGACACAGGTGTCATCGGGTGTTCTGAGGGGGGGAGCACAGCAGATATGAGAAAATTAGATGCATCATTACCATTTTCAACTCAATTAACATCCTTGCTCTTCAGGATTAAATGAGTTTGGTAACTTGCCTTTAGGTACGGCAGGTAAAGAAAAAAAAGGTCCTGAGGGTGAGAAGGATGAATATAACGCTATAGAGCAGCAGGAAGTAGATTAGGAAACGAACTGCAGTGAACTGTCTGAACTATGAGCTATGCTCTAAGGACAGCCTCAAGAACTCTTCTGAGGCCTCAAACTGCAACCGCTTCTCCCACAGAAGTTTCTCTGAGAAGGCTGGAACGTAAGTGGGATCTCTACAGGGTGGCTAAAGGAACAGATCCTTTAGTTTTGTCCCCAGTGAAAAAAAATTCTTTTCTGTCATCTCTTATGCTTTCAAAGATCATTCCATTAAAAACAATCATGCTTAGTTAATGTAGTAGTTAAAATAAACAGCCGTAGGTTTCTGTAACAGCTGTAGTACAGAGTCATATTTTGATTCTTACTTACACTGAGTGAAACCTAACCAGCAGGAAAAGTGCCTCTGACTTTATTAGAAATTTGGGGGGGATATCTGCTTCAGGGATATTACACATATCTCAGTTTAATTGTCTGGTATTTTCATGATGAATTTGAATTAATTGAAGAATGAAGGAAGAAGGAACTGGACTGTGATTGGAGATACTTCCAAGAATATACCAAGAACCACGGAATGAGAAAGGGCAGAATTGTTAACTGAGGAATGCCCTACTTTGCTTGTTTCCAGGTTATACCCCTGCTTTTCCATTTTGAGGTTTACAATCAAAACCCATGACAGACCTGGTCTGGGAAGGAATGGGGGTGACAGAGAGAGCTGACTCGCATCTCCAAAGCAGAGGTGAAAAACATGAGGATGGGTGCTGAGCGCTGCAGCTGTGACACTGGCACACCTGAGGCAGGTACACTTCTGATGCTTATCACACTGGTGAAGCTTTACAGCAAGACACAAATGGACAAACATTTCACAGCTTTCTTTAAAATAGTTCTAGGAGAGATTGCGAGTCACTGCATGCTGGTGTAGTACCCAGAGAAGAAGGGTCATGCAGAGAGAAATCACAGTTTGCCTTGCCGTGTTAAATAGGGACAGAGATGCCTCTTTGGAGCTCAGACAAAAAGTGGTAGCTGTAGGATATTCAAACTAGAAAGAATAAATTTACTGAGATTTAGCAATTTACGGGATGTACTTCTGAGGAGATTTAAATGCAGGAATACAGAATGCAGGATGCTGTAAACTCATCAGGTTTAAAGAAGAGTGTTTCTTGGGAGTTCTGCTATGGGTAGTATGTGGGTAGAGGCCTGTCGCTCAAAGAGACTGTGCACTGAAGAGATTAGTTAGAGGTGAGGTCCAGCAGCTATTCACTTCCCAAGGGAGACAGTACTACTGGATATAAAGGCACTGCTATCTGCCAGTTAGTGAATGCTGAAAAATATTTCTGTGAATATTTGGTCAAATAAGTAAAAGAATATACTCAGACATTTACTGTTCCTTTTTTTTCTTCTTCATGATTATAGTCTTACAGGAACAATAAATTTTCAGTGACTGTCAGAGAAGAATCACTCAGACCAGTGTTTGAACTGGCTGTGCCAAATCATTTAGCACCATCAATGTGAAAACAAGAACAGGAATATTATGCAATTTCAGTCAAAACAAGCCAAAGGCAATCAAATTTCAGGACATGAATGCTAGTACCAGATTATTTGTGGATTGCCTTCCGACCAAAAATAGTGCATAGACACGGTCTTGAATTTATTTAAAATATTTTAAATAACTGGAGAAAAAGTTTCTGGAAGACTTAATGCTTTGTATTTCCCTTCATTACCAGATTGGTTCACAGATAAGTATTTAAATAATTATTTTGTATTTATTTCTTACTAGCTTTTGTTTTGTTGAAAAATTGGTCATGCTGTTAAAAAAAAAAATTAGAAGGATGAAAATAAAACATTTTAAATTATGCTTTTTTTTTTTTCTTTTGCTTTTCTTCACCACTGCAGCAGGAGCAGCAGATATTGTCTTTGGAGAAAAATAACAGAATCTTTAACTAGTCTTGTACTCCCTAATTATGCTGAAATTGTTTATTTAACGTTTTTTCCCCTTGTACTATATGTTTTGAAAGTATACCAGAATCCTTCTTCTATACTTTATTTATCATGTCATGATGAGAGTTACCTGGAGATGCTTATTCTATTTAAAAAATACTATAATTCTGAAAAAATAAATAATAATTAAAAAAAAAAAAAGTACTTTTAATAGGAACAGTGAATCCTTAAATGGATTTTAGACAAGTGCTGTCACTAGGCAATGCAGGGCAGCTACTTGTTCGCTTTGTAATTCTGGCAGTTATCCCTAAATCACACATTTGGCAGTCTATAAACTAGACATCCATCTACCCTGACTTTTAGAGAAATGGAGTGTTTTATTTCAGCAGCTGAATGGAAACTAAGTAAGGCTGCATATATTACTAATTTCTTAGAAATGTATATTATTTGCAGTGCACTGCACACTTGGAGGTGAATGAAAAAAATATTTTATACTTAACAGAAAAAAGCATTGTAACATAAATCTTAAACTGTAGTTATGCAATGATTTTCTCTGTGCTGTGGCAAAGAATATGGGAAAGGGTAAGGGCATTCCCCTGTAAACAAAGAGACGTAGATCTGGTGATGTATGTATTCTCTAGCCCTTTTTCCTTACAAAGAGTTTCTGCATGTGTATTGTAGGAGCATACAAGTGTTTTACTCCTGCCTTCCAGCTGCACATGTTCCTGGCATTGTTCACCTCAAATTTGAAGGTACAAGCACACCGGTAGGTTTACTTGCTACGGTGTTTGCTGTCATCACTGACATTGGTATAAAGCCAGGAATTCAGTAGAGGGGGTCACATAAGGTCCAGAACAACAGTGGACCAGATCATGAGTTTATTGACTTTTCTAAGTCCTGTGTTCAATTCAGATTCTTTCTGGAAAGAAATAGGTGCTGTTTTGCTTAGCACAGAACTATATATTTTTGCAAAGTTTCGCTCTACTTTCCCTGTTTTGAATTCATTGTACCTAGTTATTTGAGGCAAGTGACAGTTTTCATCTGCAAGAAACTCAGTTTTCATTGATATAGAAGCAAGGTATGTCATTTTGTCAGCAAAGATAAATTCACTGAGTGTTATGGTAATTAATATGTACGTTGGAAAAGGAGACTCTCCATCCTCCTTTAATGAGCTATTCTTAGAACTAAAAGTATTTTCTAACCCGTGATAGGAGAAGGAGATTTAACCTTACCCTGTCAAACGTAACAGCTAGATGAAAAGTGTTACAAGAGGGGGAATACCAAGTCATCTCAATTATACAGCACCACATGAAATAATTATATTTGGTTACACTTTAGAAGGGTATGTTCTTGAGGGATAACTTTTATGTATCACACCTCCAAACAGGACTACATTCTGACTCTGTTGCTTTTGATTTTAAATAGCTCACAGTTACAACCTCTGCATATTATCTCTAACGATGAATGACAGTAGTATATTTACAGATACCATATTCTTGAAGATTTTATTAACTATGCAGATTTAAAACAAAAGACATTAAAGCCTTTGTTGAATCTTCTCTAACATAATGGGAAGTTATCAGAGAATATTTTACACTTTTTACTAATAGAGTTAATATACACGTACAATGCAAAAAACTCTTTTGGAAAGAATGAAAAGAGTAAAACATCAAACCCCATTCAGTTAATATGCAAACCTGCACTCAAAACCGTATATAAAATGTTAACCTGAAATGCACAATGTATCTGTTTCAAACTTACAAAAAGGCTTATTTTCATGTTTCTAAGTGTGGAATAAGTTATAAAATTAATTTAATTTACTCCAGAAGTACAATAGAACCTACCTCAGTTCCCTGCTACTGTGCCAGTGTTGAAAGAACTCTAGATGTTTATGAAAAATTGGTCCCCAACATACAAATAAAATTTTGTGAACAGGACAAATGCTAAAAGCTGAAATACTTAGGTTTATTCTAAATATCGAAAACTAGGGCAAGACACCTGACTAATGGCTTAAGATAACATCTACAAAACATTTCTATACATAAGAAAAACAGTAGATAATGTGATAGTTTTCCTTATTGTTGACTCTTTTTTTTTTGAAAATATGAATGCTCGTGCTTCATTCTATAGAAAGGAAATTAGATAAACAAGAAACAACATATGGCAGTTATTTTTCTGTTGTTGGCAGCGTTGTTGTTGCTGTTGTTTTTTTACAGTTATGAATACTCATGCTTAAATGTACAGAAAAAGAATGACTCCTTGAATGACTCCTTGTGCAACTTCTTACAAAAACAGGTAAATATTTTGACATTTGTATCTCATATTACGCAGTTGCTTTTACCAATATGCAATGAAATTAGAGAGAAGCTGTAAAGCCTATCTCATCCATTCACATGGGGCTCAGTTTTCTTCTGTATAGCTTTGAGTTCCTGAAGGAGAGCAGTGGAACATGACTTACTGTTTAAAAAAAAAAAAAAATTAAAAAAAACAGCACATTTAAAAAAAAAAGGGGAGGGGACAAGTGTTGATAGGCAGGAGATAAATATGCAAACAAATAAAGCAAGGAGGAAAAAAAAAGAGGTAAGTTTGGGAGGTTACAAATTTAATAAAGGCATTATTTACAAAAACAGAGCTAACATGAAAAGTCCTAACATGTGAAAAGAATTATGCTGGAGGAATCAGCTGAAAAGTTTTATTTCAGGCAGTATTATAAAATTCAAATAGAGAGGTCTCCAGAAGACTTCATACAAATCTTATTCTGAGCTGTAAGTAACCCAGCAAAAACCAGTCAACCCAGTAAAAAACTTGTTCATGTTGATAACTTGCAGTAGTGCTAGATTGGTTTCAGCCTACCAGAGTATTTGTTTGGCAAGCAGAAATACAGGATTAAAAGCAAGTCTGTTCATTTAAAAATACAAAGAATGAGTATGGTATTTTATAGTGCTAAGAAAAGAGTAAGAAATAAATAGTCTGTCTTGCTTTTTCCACACTTTGAGGATGTCTAATACATGTCACCGTTAGTCAGCTCTTTTAAATGTTAGCTGTATCAGATGACTTCAGCCAGATTGCTATTCACCATGACTGTCTTTTAAAGGTGTGATTGGACTTACTATTTGATTGTACAGGAGATCAAGTTCCTTGAGTACTGGAGGTTTCCTGGATGACAGGAAAGCAGTCATAGTTCACAGGAATTAGATGTATGTACAAAAAACAAACCAGTGAAGATTGAGTATATTTTGCAATGTCAGTAAATAAAAGAATGGAAATAGAACACAGACCTGAGAAGGATTACTAAGTTGTTGGCATTAGGTAACAAATTATATGAACACAAAGAAATTTTTGTTGCATACAGCTAAATGATGTGGTATTTTGAGTCAGATACACACCTACTTTAAAATAAGAGTAGCTAAAAAATGCAATATAAAATCATGTAGGTAACACTTGCTGCTAAGTTCTGTAGAGGAACATTTTATGTTCAGAGGATGATGGTCCTGATTTAGAGAATGACTCAGCTCCCAGGAAGGAATCCTTTGTGAGTTTTTCTTGTGCATGTGTTGAAACAGTTGACAACATAAGAGTTACTGAGGAGACAGCTGAAGGAGTGCATAGGCCAAGAAGCAACAGATAAGTTGTGAACTGTAAAAGCAATTCAGTATTTTAACTGTGTGCAGTTGAAACAGAGAAAGGGGAAAAAAAAAATCAATCCTAATAATTTGGACAACAATCTTATCAATGAAGAAATGTCTCCATTTCCATAAACCAATGCATTAACTGCAAAGGGTAAAAGAGCCAAAGACTGACAGAAAAATACCAGGAGAGAATCTCAGTGTACTTTGTGAGACTAAGTTTTAATAGTGGGGGAAGAAAAAGGCACGGAAGACTTTTTAGAGCATTTCTCCTTTGTAGCACACTAATAGGGCTGTTAAATTGGACTCCTACTGACCAGAGACAGTGAACTGTATTATTGATTAAAAACCAAGTTAAATTTATAGATGGTTGATATTAAAGCAAAAATATATACACAACAATAATTCCACCTAGAATGCCGTATTAGGAGAGTTGGTGGTGACACAAAGGAAGTAGCAGATAGGTTCCAGTGCACTTACTGGTCCATGTATTCTCATTTATCCGACCGTAATTTTTCATATTCTTTGGGGAAAAAATGGAATAAAGACAAAAATATTTGTAATCCTTCACAAGGAGAAAGCATATAGAATACTTAAGTATTTCTACAGGATATTTATCTGAGAACAGTGAGTTAGTGTAAGGGGATAGCACACAATCAGCTGATTTGCTCATGGCCAACAGTGACAGATACAGAGCTTTTCATAACCTATGTTAAAATTTCAGCATAAATTTGACGAATGCTGTAAAACCAGAACAAACAGGAAGAGATACTGGATTCAAGGACCTGATATTTTTCATTGACAAACTGCTTCAGTGCAGGCAGACTGTATAATGGGCTTTATGTATTGCAACATTATAAATGTTCACAATATCTTCCATTTATAGATGCATTACTTTAGTAGCTAAATGACAAATACGACCTTATGACACAATTGCTTCCAGTTTTATACAGCTCTGCTGACTATGTATTTCAGCAAAACTACTGTGAATTTGAAAAAACAGCTGCTACTTTCTGCATTTGACTTGATGATAAACACCTGTGTCCTGGATTCTCCACTAAGGAATTACAATTTTATATTGCTAAAATTACTGACTTAGGCAGAATTAACATTTGTACGATAGTGGAATAAAATAGCAGAGAATTGGATGATAGATATCTATTGAGAACCCCAAAATAAAGATATTTTTTAAATATTCAATCTAGCTGAGAATCAATGATAAGGTGTAAGGAAAAAGTTTAAAAATAAAAGCAAACATACCCAAGACTGAAGAGTTACAACCACCATTGCAAATATCATCGTTCTTCTTGTGAAGGCCTCAGGGTGATGACAACGTGTAAAGCAAGCCCCCTCTTCTCTGCATGAGGAAGACTTAAACTGTCAACCTCAGGTCCTAGAGACTCATTGGAAGGGAGAACACAACACCAGAGAAGTGAGGCTTTTCTGATTATTAATCTGATAATTTGTACTGTTAGACTGTTAGATATTTACTGGATTTACACTATGGACTAGCACTATGTATGCAGCATAGCATACAAGCCACTGAGTGTAAAGAATCAGTGCAGAACGTGGGGAAACCTTTCTGTGAACCTTTCCGCTGTGTTGGTGAGTAGCCGTCTGCAAAATCTTTGTGGGCAGAAGCCTGCGGTCATCACGGAAGAAAGACCAGGAATGCAGCCAGTGTGCAGTCCTGTGTCCTAGCAGGTAGCTCATTTACAATGTAACAAATGAATTTTGGCAGCCCAGGTGATTCAAGATCACTAATGATCTGAGGAAAGCTGACAGTTTGCTGAAGGTTTGAGAGAAAGAGGAGAAAATAGGTAGCAGTCTGAGCAAGCTCATGCTAGGCAGACACTGGATAGAAGCCTGAAGTTTGCTGATATTTGCTTTAAAAGCCTCTGATTGTAGTCCTAGGTGATCAGAGATTTTTGTCTCTGCTCCATTCTCATGACTCAGCTGAACAGAGATTTTGGTTTTATTATGGCTTACCTGTAAAGGACAAGGCCATTGACTGGGTACAGAGGAAGGAGAAAAACAAATCCAGTCTGTTACTGGACATTAGCACTGCTCCTAGAAACATCCATCGTCCTACCCTTGGAAGAAATGGCTAAGGTAAGGAAATGTGGTATTCAGCAGGGACTAAGTCTTTGGGCTCCACATTCTTGCAAAATAGCTAGGTCCTGCAGTGGAAACCGATTATTATGAGTGGATGCATAACGCTGTGTGAGTTTAAAACAGAAGACCAGAATTTGAAAGATTGCATCATTATCATGATCAGAAGCCAAAAAAAAAAAAAAAAAAAAAGGCAGAGATGTATGAGAAGCAGAAAAAGTTGTCATGCTCTGTTTAAAGTTTTATGTACTGTAGAGATGGACAAGCCTTGCGTTAGGACAGAGATGTATTTAAACAGCTGTAGTGGCTGGCCTGGGCACAGGGCTGCATTTAGTTTTGTGGCTGGTAGGTATCAGCACAGCATGGAATGAGGTAGCAGCCTGCATGAGGGAAGAAGTGATCTAGGGAACTATAAACAATAGTAAATAATAAAAAAAAAATAATAAAAAAATAATAATCCAAGGGAACAGATGACTTAGAGGCTATAAAACTGTTATTTTTGTGAGTATTTACACTCAAATACTCTTCTTTAGAAAAAGTGGCAAAAGGGAGAAGACAAGGTTAAGAAGCAGCAGCAAAGTAATCCATGTGCATATGCAGTGGTAGGAAATAGCGTAGCAAGAAAGGAGTTGGACCTAGCACAAACCAACATCCAAAGCAGCATGAGAAAACTGGGGAAGATGTACACAGCGCCACTATCTGCAACAAGGCCCCTACTGGATCGCTAACTGAAGACTGACATAAGGAAAAAGGCAATGAATCCCTCTCAGTCAGAGCCCAAAAGGTTTACGCTTCACCTTTACAGACTCCAAATTACAATTTGATCACTGGGGAAGGCGTACTGTCCTGATGGGACTAAGGGGCAAGTGGAAAACGAAGAGCCTGGATGTTGCCGTAGAAAATAATATAACGCAGAAAGATTGAATACCTGGCACAGGCTGCGATTTGTGCAGTTTAGAAGGCTGTCCTGATTAAGCAGACAGGGGAAGAGAATGAAGTGCTAACAAAGAAGTTGAATATGCAAGCAGTGGAAACCAGAACTGCTGTGAGAGCTGTGACTGCTGATGCGTGATGCCCTGCTGCAGAAGCTGATCATGCAAAATGGGAGAGATATCTGCACTGAGTGGTTGGTTAAACTAAAATCAGATTGGGCAGTGATATCAACCGTTTCTTGACTGGAATTAGAAGACCGAATCCAACACCAGAGAGAATTTTGAGAGGGAAACAGAAGGCTCAAAGAAATACCAAAAAGGAAGGACGTTTGAAAGGAGGAACACTAAAAGCTATCAATCCTTAAACAATTCTCATTGAATTGGGATAACAGTAATTCAGAAAAACAAAAGTTAACCTTATAATATGTGATTGTAATTAATGTCTCAAGCCCAAGGTAAATATATATATATATATATATATATGTTTAATTGCAGAGACTGATGTTTAAAATATAAAATGTTTACCACTTTGTTACAAAGAAGAAGTGAAACGAAAGCAAAACAAAAACAGATGGAGGATTACTGAAGTGATCTAATAATACAAAGTAAAATATTCTTACTAAGTAGTAATGAAGTAGTTATTTTATTACAATGTGCTTCAACACAAAGTATTCTTGAAACAAAATTGCAGCTAATGAACCTGAATATCCATAAAACTCGTACAGGGAGAGCTGCTCTAGCCTGGCTAAGTTGAACTATTAATATAATACTGATTTTAGCATCCACAGGATACTGCAAGCTGCATATTGCTCAGTTTTCTTTAAATGTGTAGTAACTATGATATGTGCGTAGAGGAAAAGGGAAAATGCTACTTTTAACTAGTAAGCCATGGCTAAAAAAAAAAAAAGGGGGGGGGGGGAGGGTGTAAAATATGAACCTAGGTAGTTAGACAAAAGGTTAGACAAAAGGATCCAACTTAAAGGTTCCATCTCCAAGCAAGAGAAATCTTGTTTCTCTGTGTGAAGACAGATGTACTTCCTATTAACCTATGCTTATCTATGCTCCTAACAAACGTGTATGTATTTGTTATGGATGAAACTTTTTATATGCATGAAACACAAAATGCTGAGTACTCTAAAAAGAAAATAGCAGAAAATAGCAGTAGGCCCTTGCAGAAGGTTGCTACCATTGGCAGTAATGACTTTTGAGAAGCATGTATACAGGTATATATACAATAGCATATATACCACCTCCATAAATGTTACGGTATTCTTAAACGCATCCTTTACTTTGTATCTATGAAATCTTTTACAAATTCTTACTTGAAACTAATGACGTTCTGCTAAATTGATTTATTTTTTTTTTGGTGAGATTCATAGGCATTTTCACAACAGATACCGTTTTACATCTGATGATAGTTTTTTAATTGGTATCACACTATGAGGTGTCATCTGTGTAAACAGCTACAAAATATATTTACATTTATTTAATACTCTGTTATATGAAATAAGGACACCAAATCATATTAATACTGCAATAACGTGAAAGCAAAAAGCAGCCATTAGCTGGAACTTTCATGTTGTTGGACTGTGCTTTCATTCTTTTCTGCATGGTAAGTGCAAATGGCATTCCAATCAAGCACATTTAGTGGAGTTCGACAACCCTGAAGCTGGCTTTCTAGTAGTTCAGATTGCACATTGCTTTTGATCTTTAAAGACATGTGTTACTTAAAGCTCTTGATACCACAGCAGGGCAGAAGTAAGACCTAAAAAGACAATCTCAATGAACAATATATTTCTTAAACAATAAATTTCTTATTTATTAAAAAAAAAAAAAAAGAATCAAACCAACAAAAACGAACACCTCACACCCACAAACTAATTAAGGACTATATTAATGGATTCATGGAATGTTTAATTTTCAAGGTTTGGTTCTTTAGTGTTTGTATGTAATCAAACGGTCTCGTCCTTACTAGAAGTGCAAAACTCTGTTTAAATTACAGAACTGTGACATGCTGTTGAGCTATAGCAGCTGTGCAACATTGCCCATTTTTCCCTCTGTGTCTCAAAAGGGCCTTGGAGAGTTCAAAGACAGGGATAACTGGCTTGCTTAATCTCCATTCCCAACATTTGACCTGCATGTGAAGACTACCCAGGTTAAGTGATAATTAAGAAATATACTGGATGTTTGCAATGTCCCCTTAATGTCTATACTGGAATAGAAACATGGTATGCATCATCACTGACTACTGCTCTCTTTCTCTCCCTGCAGGCTAGAAGGCAGATCCAGCAAACAGCGCATTCCAGTCTGAGAACCAGGATGGTGGGGAGAATCTGATCCAGTGCCTCAATTAAACCAGGTGCCTAACAGAACCCAGATCATATTGTTTAGCATCTCCATCATCTTTGTAACAAGCAAAACTGATGTACTGCATGATGTGAGTAGTCAGTTTTCCTTTCTTCAGTGCTTTTCAGATCTTGAATGTTCTTTAATCCAAACCTCCTTCTGTTTGAACTTTGCATATAAACTATTATAAAAATTGTGACTATTCAGTTATTGCACAGCATGCAGTTGGGGTTGGAACTAGATGATCCTTGAGCTCCCTTCCAACTCAGGCCATTTGGTGTTTCTGTGATTCTATGCAACGTTTTAAAGTAGACATAACTTAATCACGAGCATCCATTGAAAAAATAGTTTAGAGTGGATTGATATACTACATCCTCACTGGTAACTGGCTGCGAGGCATGTACTTCAGGCGTCACTCCTTTATGATCCATTATTGTGTGCCCAGAAGAGCAGTTATTACCATCCACCCTCTTTCCTGTTTCTGCTGGCAGGTAGCAGCAACTACTAGCTTTGTACCAGTCCTGGATGAATGCATAAAGAAGCATTCAGTCACTGTGACAATTCATGGTTTGAACAGCGTTTTTGCCTCTAGGTGGAAGATGAAATGGCAGTGTCCTGAGAGCCAGATTCAGCCTCAGAGTCTCAGCCAGATCGCATTGTAATAGGTGAACACAATAATATATGCCTTAGTGTCTTTGAGTTTGTTCTGGTTTCAGCTGGGATAGAGTTAATTTTCTTCCTAGTAACTGGTATGGTGCTGCGTTGTCAATTTTGGATAATGCTGTTAACACACCAGTGTTTGTTGCTGGGGAGCAGCGCTCATGTAGAGCCAAGGACGTCCCAGCTCCTGGTGCTGCCCTGCTAGCGAGGAGGCTGGGGGTGCACCAGGAGCTGGGAGGGGACACAGCCAGGACAGCTGGCCTGGGCTGCACAAAGGGATGTCTCACACCATGTGGTGATGTGCTGAACAATAAGACTGGAAAGGTTGGCCAGTGGGAGGCCACCACTGCTTGAAGTCTGGCTGGGCATCAGTTGGTGGGTGGTGAGCAACTGCACTGTACATAACTTGCTTTGGATATTCTTTTATCAGTATATTTTCCCTTCTTTTTCTGTCTGGTTAAGCTGTCTCAATCTCAATGCGTGAGTTTTACCTTTATCTTTTTTTCTGATTCTCTCCCCCATCACACTTGGGAGTGTGCAAACGGCCGTGTGCTGCTTAGCTGCCTGCCAGGTTAAACCACAGCAGAGTTACCTTTGACAAAGTAAGCAGATAAAATCATGCCCAAGTAAATGGAACATGAACAGATAAACTGGAACATGAACGGATACAAATGGAATGGTTATCAATTTCCCAGTTCTCACAGGGTATTAAATGTAGCATTTGGGCTTGATCTATTTACAGGGACTGGGGCAATTTGCAGACTTTAACTTCCCGAAGTTTAGGGTTGCTTAGATGTGAGGCTTGATACTGTGCTATTTCAACTCAAAATCTTCCAAACAAAGACTAAGACAGGGTCCCCATCTCCAGGGAGTTAGAAATCACAGCAATATTCCTACTGTTTATACAAAATGCTAATGCTAATTTATAAATCTCTCTCTTGTTTCTAACAGCTAATAATGGCACTGTGAACCTGCTTGAGCTTTCTGACAATGAAGAAAACCAAAAAGACTGGGCAAAGAATGAAGCTCCTGTTTCCTGTGCTAGTGAATTCAAAGACTGTATGTAGGGATTGCCCTCCTCCTTCCACTTCAGCAGCAGGCAACCTCTCCACTACAGCTGGAAGCCTCAAAGCAGCAGCACAAGTAAAACGTAAGCTATTGTGACAAACAAGTTCCTGGCTCTTGATAATCAGCTGGATTTTCTCTCGGTTTAGCTTGCCCTGCTAGTTAGCGGTGAGAATGGCAGTGACACATTTGCAAAAGAACACATGATGTGCATAGTGTGATGTGTGAAATATGATGGTAGGGTTACTACACTGTGGTTTAACGCAGACACTGGAATCACTGCCACGGAGGCAGTTTTGAGATGCACAGGTAATACTAAAAGCAGGTTTTCAGCCCTCACTAAGAATGAAGAAATGGTGGACACTGGGAAGAAAAAAAAAAATAAAAAAATCCTGATCTATCGGAACTGAATACTATAGGTAACTCTGTTATATCATAGATGCTAGTTCTTTAACAAAAGAAACAGAAACGGCTTAGGCCTTCTGCTGGGGCAAGTTTTGTAACTATTTCCTACTCCTGTTTCTTAGGACAGAGAATACTTGTTCTCCCTAAGGAAAAAGGACAACAGTACTGAATTTTTTGCCTGTGTAGTTGTAAATTGCTGCAAGGAAGGAAATACAGTGTAGTTAAACGTAA